CTGGGAACGTATTTGTTTGCGAAGACGTTACCCAGTAACGGCTGCGTATCTCCTGCCTAACAACGAATGTTGTTTCTTTGTTTATTTCGAGGTCGTTATTCAGCAGCGGGTCTACACACTACAAAACGTTAGACACGGCGCCATAGAACAGTCTTCTGGGATATAACGCCATGCAGTCCATTGAAATTCAACGGACGTTTCGGAGGAACATGTCGCCTCCATTTTCAAGGTCGAATAACAAGCCAAACAAGAAAACAGCATGAAGCAGGTAGCAAGGAGAAAAATCGGCTTGCCGAAAATTCAGCTGTCTGCTTCATGCTGTTTTCTTGCTTGGCTTATTCTTCGACCCTGAAGATGGAGGCGATATATTCCTCCGAAATGAACTGTTGGCTTTCAACAGATAGCACGATCTTATATCACATTAGATAGATCTCTTCCTAACTACTGTTGTGAGAACCTCAGATACTAGAGTTGTCATGGAAACAAAGACATATGTGCTATTGTTTAAAGTTACCGTGCCACGTTTCAGTGAATAATTTACACAATAAATGATAATTAGGCTTGTATGCTCTCCGCTTACAGTACCACTAACTGTTACACCCCTCGTTTCTCGTTTCATGTCCCTCTGGCTGTATCAGTTGCTTCAAGTTTTCTTGAATGAAATGATAACACAGGAAGATGGAGTTTGCAGCGACTTCAAAGACAAGACCATTTAGTTAATTAACACTGAATCAAGAATGGTTTGTTGCTCCACGCCTGGCAATAGAAGCTTTCGCGTCAATATCTCAGCCGCTCTCCAAACAGTAAACTCAGAGCTCAAAGTGGGTTATCAAAGTAAGGGTGACAAAATAGATCCTTAACACAGAACGCTTGCCCATGTAAGGAGAAGTAAAGCTATCTCTGTAACAGGCCGTGGAGACTGACAGAGTTGTGAGACGTCGAGGCTCCCACATTATGTAGAAAATCGGCTTACAAATGGCGGTGAGGTTGTCAGCCTTACGTGCCGGCCGCTCTTTACCCCCAGGAATATTCCTGCTACTCATTTCTGTTAGAGTCTGAGTCGACCCCAGCCACAGTGCGACTAGAAGGATTAGGTAAATTGAAAAATCCAATGACCTCGTCGGGAATCGAACCTGCGACCTTCCGGCTTGTGGTACAGCTCTTCAAGCAACTAGGCTATTTTTTCCCTCTTGCCAATGTACACCACATAAAAACCTACACTGAGCACAATTAGGAAGCAAATTTTGCAGAGTGCATTCAAACCGTGTTTCTGCAGCACAGACGTTCCACATTAATGGGGCCCAACCACCGGAGGGAGGAGAGTGATGTGTAACACTGAACGCCACTGAACACATTCTGAAACTCCATCCATGCAGCGGGTTCTCTTAAAAATGACCGCTCCGTTGCCTCAAAATTATTTGGAGAGCCGCTATAGCTCAGTCTGTATGTCGATGGGCTATGAGCTGAACGACCGGGGTTCTATTTTCGGTAAGAACAACAGGCTTTTCTCTTTTACACAGCGTCCAGACCGATTTTGAGGTCTACCCAGCCTTATCCAATGATTACCTGGGGATATTCCCCCAGGGGGTAAAGGGGCCGGTACAGGAAGCTAATTACTCATCTCCATCTAGTGTGGAGGTCAAAATGGTGGAGGTATATCTCCACTCCCCCATACGCCTTTATGGTGTGGTGCTTAATTAATTAATTAAGCACAAAGAAGTTACCCTTAGTTGTTCAGATGGAACATCTACGATTGCCCCTGCAGAGGTATTGTTAGATTACTGCAGAACAGCGCTGCCAGAGAAGTTGCCGCATAAGCACGGCGTATAACGAATCCTTTCGCTGCAAGATAACATTTTTTACCTTTAACCCTGCAAAACACAGTAATTACAATATAAACCACCTTCTTTCATATACAAAAACTCCCTTTTGTCCACTGAGTGCATTATGCATTCCACACGATTCTTAGAACGAAAATGGATTATATCCTTAAACAAATTTGGATGTTTTTTTTTGTAAAAGAGATTCAGTGTAGTTACTGTGAGGTGGAAACTACGTATTATCACGTGATAAGTGGAGACGGGGTTTTGATTGGTAACTGGATTTATTGGACATTTTAACACACAACTCGTGTCTACACCTTACAAATCCCTGTCACAAACAGACTAGTGTTCTCAGTTAAGGTCTTCACTAGCCGTTGCTTGGTAGCGGCGTTCAACAGTGGACGTTCCTCTTCCTCTAGGTTTCCGACTGTCCCCGGCCTCGACTACAGCAGACTGACTGACTGATTGACTGCAGACTCCCTCGTAATCAAAGTCAAAGTCACATTGCGGGTCATTTGTTGTAATGTAAAGGATATTTACATTTTACATGTTAAACATGACAATAAATGTATATAAAATATATACAGGGCCTCTGTCAGTCCAGGCTCGGTACAGCTGATTATGCCCTATCTCTAGTAGCTTCCGCTACAACGGTAGTCTAGTCACTTGAACGGTCGTATGCGTGAAGCTAACAGATATCGTTCATCAAGTACCGAGATAAAAAATTGTGAAACTGTACCTCCACCTTCCCATACGTCTTCGTGTCGTGGTTCTCAACTAATTCAAAGTAGGGACAACTTTACATTTTTTACGAACAAACGCAACTGGCCGATATCTAAGTGTTAATTTGTGTTCATTTATTCAAAGTTCATATTGGCCTCGCGTATCAGCAGCTGTCGCTTCAGACTCGATAGGGCACTGCACTGCACTGCATTGAAGTGACTCACAACTAAATGCCGACTTTTTTAGTACGATGGTGGTTTGTCGAGTCACATAAAATCGCGGAATTTCTTCTTCAGTTGAGTAGTCTATGAAGTAATCAAGAAACCTCACCGCCATCTGTAAGCTGATTGTCTAGGAACTGTGGAAGCCTCGACGTCTCACAACCCTATGGGCCTCCACAGCCTGTTACAGGGATAGCTTTACCTTTTGATGTATAAATGAGGCAACAGTTGCAGTTGCAAGATGGTGGGGCGATGACTGCTTGAAATCTGTCCCTTTTAGTTTCAGGTCATCTTCTGATTTAGTATTTCAAAACCTGTGACATAATGAAATTCAGTTACTGAAATACGAAACAAAATCTGGTAAGGTAAAGCTATCCCTGTAACAGACCGTGGAAGTTCACGGTGTTGTGAGACGTCGAGGCTACCACACATTCTAGACAATCAGTTCAGAGATGGCGGTGAGGTTGTCAGCCTTACGCGGTGGCCGCCCTTTACCCCCAGGAAGATTCCTGGTACTCATTGCTGTTAGAGGCTGAGTCCAACCCAGGACCATAGTGCGGCTGGAAGGATTAGATCAACTGAAAAATTGAATGACTTCATCGGGAATCGAACCCTCGACATCCCGGCTTTTAGCATAATGCCTCAAACAACTATGCTACCACGTGCCCCGCATGTTATGGAATGTTAAAAATATATTTTTAAAGATATTAAGATATTCTAATTCTAATTAAAATTAAAGTTAGTTGTTAAATACAGATACTAACTGCAATTTGAATATATTAATATTTTACAAATTTAAATCTTAATACGATATAAAACATTTAATATATTCCATAATGTAAACACATACCTGAACAATGAACTTACAACGTGTAAACAATGGCCAGGTTAGGGGGGTACGGCAGATGGAAAGAAGAGCAATTGTAAAGGTTCTATGTTCCTGATGAAGGCAGCAACACGCCAAAATATGCAAGCGTATACTAGGACTGTGTTTACTGAATAATAATAACAGAAAATATGGCACTCCCATGAGCGAACGCTGACTTTCATTTCTTAATCGGTTCTTTCTGTTCCCAGGACTCGAGCCCCCTACCTGACATAATTTTTTTTATTGCTAGTGAGGTGGGGCTATGTCCCTTGTACTGCGGCCACTTCTGGCCTATTGTATCAGCCCCAGATAATAGGTTAAGGTAATTGTGGAGCAATTGGTGGAAAGAAGATTGGCAGGGGAAACCTGCCCCAGCACCACTTTGTCCACCAGAAATCCCACTTGACCAAACGCGGGATCGAACCCGGACCGCTGCTGTGGGAAGCAACCGACTAACCGCTTGAGCTATGGCGCGGCCGAATATCTGATATAACCTATCATTCATAAGTGATATATATCCTTGTTCCTCTGAGTTTCATGCCCATCACCTGTCCTGGGATACACACTGCAGGGAGACCAAACAGCCACGGTTCATATAATTACAGGGTCATCAATATCAATATGATAACGTGATCCGTTCCAATTTTGAAATTTTAAAACACCGCCCCCCCCCCCTTCCCACTCCTCACTTTGCATATGTTTACTTGTGAATTGTACCCCTATACATGTAGAGTCATTATATCAAGTTTCACCCCACTCTAACCCCTTCACTTGTGTATATAACATTGAGAGTTCCACCAATGGGGTTGAAACCATTAATAGAATAGCTGGGAGGTGTCTTCGCTTAGGTACGCCCCGTGGAAATGCGCGCGCAACTTCTCTTCCCCCCAAATCCTCCACTCCCACGACAATTTCACCATGGCGACGAGGGATGCTGTGAAGTTTGAAGATGTTATCACCAACTGCATGAAAAGTGTCAAGTGTAGTGACTGCTTGTGCCTAAGTGTCAGTGGCTTCATACTGTGTTTTGCAGTGAGCAAGAACCCTAACCAACAGATGATAACAATTCCAAATATTTTAACGTGGGAGTAACTTATATTTAAAACAGCTATCATGTGACGTATAAAATGTGTTTATATAATTTGTTATATTAACACCCACTTCATTTCCGTTAATATCGATTTGTTGGTATCTAATTAGGATCGTTATGTTCGTATAGATTCTACAGAGATTTAGTCTTTCTAAATGTGGGACATTAATGAAATATATTTATATCAATTTAATATTGATATTCATTTCAGACAAAACTTATTTCTTTTCTAAAAAAAATATGTAATTGCATTAAATTAAAAGTGATTATCCCGAGTGTAAACGTTATTTACGTGTCAAGAGAAAGTTACATCTAAATATAATAATTATGTTCTGTTAAGTGATGAAAGTGCTTAGAAATCAGACATTAAGTGTTACTGCATACAAGGACAAGGTTTTTTAACAATTAAAGTAAACTGTGAATTTAAATTAACGTTTGGTCGATAAGTGTGAGTTGATGCAAATGGATCTAATGTTGCAGACAAAGGAATATTCTAGGGACGAAGATTAAGAAACGGGTCACTAATTTCTTAACGACAATTTCAGTGAGCTAATCTGAAAAACATTCTCTAAATAAATTAATGCAGAGAATAAGACACAACGGGAATCAGTTACAGATGTACTGAAATTTGCTGATATCTAGATTAAAGAGAAGCGATTAGATGGAGCAACTAACTCAATTCGTTTCGAAATCTTTCGAACCCGGACTGTGTACCAATAATCGCAGTGGGCCCATCGTGGAGGAGACGCCCACCAATCACGCTCATCCCGAATGGGGCCCGGTGGCCCCCTCAGGCCTGTCTCTGTCGCAGCTGCAGAAGAAACCCTCGCCGGTATCACCCTGCCCCGACACCAGAGGCTCGTCTTCTGTCTGCGGAGAACAGCCTCCGAGCCGGGGGTCCTCTGTCTCGCCTGTGGTGGATCCTGATGACTCCAGATCGTCACCCGGAAGCGCCGGGAATCCATTGCTACTGAACTCACCAGGAACAGAACCGCAGAGCCCGGAAGGCGGGACAGAGCAGAGACCCGGAGGAGTGAACGCGACAGGAAACAAAATTGTCCTAACTGCCAGAGAAGAGAACAAGTCAGGTATGGAAAGGTCTTCAGTTTGAGAGCTTTTCCTTAGAGACCTGTGAATACGATAAGGCCTATTCATTCATTCATCAGCGTCTCTACAGCCTTTGTTTGAGTCCTGGACGTTTTTTTTCTTCAGTTTCTGAACCCTATACACGCCGGTCACGGTAGCCGACGGGTCTAAGGCATGTACTGTCTTCGTTCGCTGGGAACCAGGGTTGTGTGTTCGAATCCCACACAAGGCATACAATTTTGGTGGGTGTGTATGCGTTTATTCTATGTTTGTGTTGTCCCATGTTTAAGTAGAGCCCATGTGACGAGCCGATCCCCCGTCCAAGGAGCCCTGCCGTCTATAAAAATGATCATGAAACTGAGAAATCAGCCTTATGCTCCAAATTGGGAGCAACATGAGAGAAGTAAATCCTATACACAGTCGGTAGGACACCTTAGACGGGGGATCAGCCCGTCGCAATGCCACTACCTACACACAGAACAACACAAACACAATAAACGCATACACACATCCATGCATTGAGTGGGATTCGAACCCACGATCCTAGCGTTCGTGCGGACGAAGCCGGTTAAAAGTAAAGCTTTCCTATAACGAGCCGTGGAGGTCCATAAGGATGTGAGACGTCGAGGCTCCCGCATTTTCTAGACAAGCAGCTCACAGATGGCGGTGAGACTCTCAGACGGTAAGGCCTATGCTATGTATAATATGTCTTTGAGGGTTCGACATCAGTAGATACGTAAATTGTTGTATCAGCATTATAAAGTTAACAGATTCAATTTGTGATTTAAGTTGGGAAACAAAATTACTTTACCGGAGACCTCGTTTAACTCTTTAAACCACAGTGGTTATCATATTTACCACCCGTTCTAACACATTAATACTCTGCACAGAGTGTATTTGTGTGTTCCGTTTGAGATTTAGTACCTTAAAGCAGGTGGTACATATAGTGACCACTGGGCTTGAGAGAGTTAAATAAAGTAATTTTCATAGTGGTCGTTAATTTTCTAAGCGACTTGCGAGTTCTGTCTTCAAGTCCTAACAATTGCATGCCTAAATGTGAAATTAACCTAATTCCGTTACCATTTTATTATAACGGAATATTTCGGAAAATTTATTTTCTGCGAAACAACGTCGTATATTCTGTTGAATTTCAATCGACGTTTCGGAGGTATATGTAGCCAGTATATACAGGGTTGAGGAGTAAGCAAAGCAAAAAACCATCATAAAACCTCAGTTGAATTTCAACTGACTGTATGGCTTTTCATCTAATAATATAAATAATTTTCTTTGCCATAAAAATTAGAACCTGGGCCTACTATTCTACTTCATATCTTTTCTCCAGAACTTCAATACGTATCACACTGGAAACTAGGCTAGTCACAATTTCACAGCAGCCAACTGTCACAAAAAATAACTGTTATTACCAGTAACTGGCGTTATATGAACTATGGTAGCTACCTCATTCTGAATACGTGCAAGAAAATAATACTTTCTGGCACTAGGGAGGGGAGGAAGTAAAGAAGATAAAGGAACGATTTGGTAGATATAATAACCCTGAAACTGCAAACGCTGTTGGCGTTATCCGTCTTCGCTTTCCGAAAGCCTGAACTGAATTTTCTTTCATCTTAGTAACAGATGTACACCTTATATAGATCTGTAGCATTCAGAAGTGCCAGAAATAAAGTCTCTCATCACTTCAACATATCTATTGGGTCGCAGTGTTCAAATTTTCTATTTCCCTGAAACGTGTGTCAACTTCCACAAAATATTTGCCTATTTCCTTTCAAAAATCTGCTTCCATACAAAATTTCAAGACTTTTTGGATGGCGCTGTTGTTCTTCTCACCACAGAATTTCGCATATATGGTATGTTGGTACTGTTTCTGGCGAAACATGAAAATTACCAAGATAGGTAGGTATAGGTTAAATTTCTTCGATTTTATGCTGAGTTTTATGAAAATTTGGTCTACAATTATTGAAAATAATGCGTCTGGAACATACGCCTCCATCTAATGCCGAGATCAAGAAAGATGGAGCAATACCTCCACTTCCAGATACGCCTTAATGGCATGTTGCTTAATAAATTAAGCACAGAGACAACTTTACCTTTCATAACTTTGTCAGAAGGGGCCAGAACAAAGCATGTAGTTGAATCGGGAACCTAAAAATATCAAATAAAGTTCACAGTTCACTAATAAGGTAGCCTGCGTGAAGAAGTACATCTGGACGTTCTTAACTTGCTACAGGGAGGTATGAATAGCATGTTCTCTGTGTATATCCGACAGAGATCACCGGAAGCTTTACTTATTCACATGTACAGCTCAGGGTTATTTGCCTCTTGACACCCACAAGCGCAGATATGCTATTCGACATCCACGGTCCTCATGTCGCTCGTCTTCAAACACAAGCCTCGTGAATTATGTATCGGCAAACCACGGTTACGGGTCGGAATTTGTTTTCAGTATTCATGTTACACTGCTCGTAATACACGCAAGTGATTCTAAACTAGGCGTACCCCCTAGAAGCAAAGAAAATCAGATTCTATATTATATACCCTTTCTTGAGGAGTAAACAGTTGCTAATGGCGAATTTGTCTCTTAGGTGAGGGAAGATTCGTCCCAAAATAACGTCCATCATAGAGATTAAAGGTAAAGCTATCCCTGTAACAGACCGTGGAAGCCCATATGGATGTGAGACGTTAAGGCTCCAATATTTTCTAGACAATTGCCTCACAGATGGCGGTGAGGTTGTCAGCCTTACGCGTCAGCCGCCCTTTACCCCACAGGAAGATTCCTGGTACTGATTTCCGTTAGCTGAGTCGACTCCAGGGCCATAGTGCGGCTGGAATGATTAGGTCAATTGAAAAAAAAATCCACCTCATCGGGACTCGAATCCGCGATCTTCCGGCTTGCAGCATAATGCCTTAACCAACTACGCTACCGCGTCACTATCCCCCGGAAGTTATCATATGCTGATAAACCACAACGTTTTCATGGTCTCTAATACAAATTCTATTCGCTTAAATCTGATTACAAATCAATTGCATAGGGCCGATTGCCAGGTTGTGTCTTGCATAGGATCCAGTATGCCGTGACTATACTGGAATGACAGTTTCCGTGTAATTCAATTGGCATGAGAGGGGGGGGCCGTGGTGTTCATGCATTAGAGATTTCCACGTCTGGGTTGGAGGGGGGGGGCTTGATGCTATATATGCATGCATGGCCTCGTCTACCGCTAGCTGTGTGCATGTGTATAACCAAGCAACATACATACGGTTCATTAGATTCTACAAACTGAACAGCACCCCCCCCCCGCCCCGCCGTCACGTCGCATTGCACGATGAAGCGGCTACGGGGGAAATTCTCCTGGGATTCATCTCCATAAACATACATGTGACGTGCTAATACTGCCAGCCAATCAGGTTAACTCCATAAACTGACAAACCTACAGCAGATGTTTGCGTTTTATTTCGACATGCAGTCCTACTGGTGAAGGTGGGGGGTATTTCGGAGAAAGAAAATTTCACGCTATAAAAATTATGTTTCGTAGGATATAAAATTAAATCTGAAAATCCGCTTTGATTCCTCTCTCTCTCGCTCTCTCTCCTACTTTTTTTGAGTCATGTTCGTGCCAAAGAAACGAAACCTATAATTGTATTACATTATCGCGTAAAACCCGTTATTAGAATAAAAATATGACGATATAACTAACAAAACACGAAGATCTGAGACAGGGGTAGGTTTATAAATTTCATCTATACAGGATATTCCAAGAGGAAAGGTGAATATTTTGGGAGGTCATACTATCAGCCATTCCAAGCAAAAACTGTATATAGGTACGTGTGTCCTATTCCTAGATAGAGCTATTTCACTGTACAGTACACTGTACACTGTACAGACGAGCAACACGCCATGTCCTCACACGAGTTGCACCGAGATAGAGCTATTTCACTGTACAGTACACTGTACACTGTACAGACGAGCAACACGCCATGTCCTCACACGAGTTGCACCGAGATAGAGCTATTTCACTGTACAGTAGACTGTACACTGTACAGACGAGCAACACGCCATGTCCTCACACGAGTTGCACCGAGATAGAGCTATTTCACTGTACAGTAGACTGTACACTGTACAGACGAGCAACACGCCATGTCCTCACACGAGTTGCACCGAGATAGAGCTATTTCATTGTACAGTAGACTGTACACTGTACAGACGAGCAAGACGCCATGTCCTGACACGAGTTGCAAAGTGCATTGATGCTGATGGTGGAATTTTCGAAAATGTATTATACTAGGTAAACTGTACCAACTTTGTCACTTGAACAATAATTACCGGTATTTGAAACAGTACGTAATATCTCTTTCTTATCAACAGTTTGGAACTGTACAGTGAAACAGCTCTATCTCAGAAACCGTTCGGAATAGGACACATGTGGATATTGACGTTTCCTCCTAGGACACCCTGTATATAGGCCTACAGCTGAAATCCTGCACAATCGCCCAGCGCGTAGGATTTGCCCCATTCCGCATCAGAAAGCGTAGCACATTTATTGCGGCTTAACTAGGAACATTACGCGCAGGCGCGTACACAACAAACAATTCATCCGGAAACAACTGCGAGCAAGCGTGTCTTTTTGTTGCAATATTACTACATCACACGACAGTGCCAGTAATTATTTGGCTTCTAGCCGAGAAAGGGGAAATTTTACTCCCCTCGAAGCACAATTCTGCTTCAAATCTGGAAATTAAAATACATCCGCTTTTCAGACGACAAATTACGCTGTTGGCAAGCCGGAAACTGCGTTACCCTGCAGTTAAGTTTCAGAACTACGATAACTGTAGAATTAAGCAGGGTTTTAATCAGTGAACCAAAAGCTGATAGTTACCAAAACGTAAAAACATATTCATGAAGTAATGGTAAAGTTGTCCCTGTACTTAACTAATTAAGCACTAGGCCATGAAGGCGTATTGAGGAGTGGATGTATAGACCCACATATTC